GCATACCCACTGATTCCTATGACTATTTGCTGGATCGCTTTTGCCAAGTTCCGCTTATGCGCAGGAATGTTGCCACGGCCGGCCATCTTTTTGGTAGAGTTATATTATCTCTAGCCATCAAAGTAATATAGCTGACAGCACTGTGGCGGCAGGCTGCCATAAAAATCGCCGCGGGTCTACTACACTGTATCGTGGGTGATATTTCGTGATTGATTGAGGTCGCTCGATGGAGCAGATTATTTCAGTGAATGCGGCAGAGAAAGGTAACTATGCCGTCATGTTGTGCGGCGCGCTGTTCAAATCGCCCAGATCGCGAAAAGACAACTACTTACCATCGGTAAGTATTCCATGTTTTGATGGCTTTCCAGGCGCGCAGGAATACGTTCGGTGAAAAATATTAACTGCGACCCAGAAACGAACGTGGTCTGCTCGGACGTGGTCTGCTCGGACCACTGTGAAGAAAACTGGGTTGACAGGACGGGGAAAATTGTGCGCCTTAAAGGACCAATGCAACAATATTTGTACTTTGCGCAAATACCGCTTAAAACGGATCCCTAACGTTAATGACCTATGAAACACGCGTTCGTTTTTAACCCCACGCAATAGAAGTTCCAGAAAAAAATTTAAGAAAAACGAGCAGCGTTCACCCCCTCAACTCGCAGCCAGAACAAGCGGCCACGTGATCTGGAGCCGATTATATGCCGCCAGTGTTGATCATAGCCACGCGCTGGGGTTGGCAAAGCGCAGGACACGCGCTGAGTTCCAGGCATTGTTATGGCTCGGCTGTTGTCGTCGTTGCAGCGATTGGACACGGGTCAAAACCCGAATGCTTCTCGAGCTAGCAATTGTCACGAGCCCAAGTCGAGTGCCCACGCAATGCTCGGGTCCAATCTATGAACCGCATTCAAATATCGTCACTTGGGTGTACTGGGACCCCCGAGTTACGTCATCAAATTTTGCAAAGGAGAGATTGAATGAAAAGGATCGCTTTTGTCCTTGAAATTACACCGCAACAAAGGAGTTTCTTGGCCAATGGCGTTGCGTGTGAGTATCCTTGAGTCCCAGGTGTGCCAGTAAGCTCGTGTATAGAGAGATACATTCCAATTGAATATCGTTGCACAGCTCCTTTAAGGAAAGTGAAATACCCACTATGTTCAACCTGCCTACAGACCTCGTGAAGGTAATATAGGACATCTGCTTCGAAAAATATAATAGTTTTGTCCGAAAAAGTTAATGCCAGGTACTTTCGGCACAAAAATATTATCTAATTATTTATTAAATTTAGTCCACAATTTTATTGTTATCGACCATCTGGTGTATGCCAAAGGCGAGCACTCGAAGGATTCTTTCAACACCATGACATGCGTATTGCACAGAAGCTTGTAAGTCCCACCATGGTTGGATCTTGCAAGCACCATACTACTAGATATGATATAACTCTGCCATATATACTGTGGTCTTATTCGCGGAGCGGGCACACACGATCCAGCAAATAACCATAGAGATTAGTGTGCATACCAGATGCGGAGACCGCGTAACTGAGAACGACAGGAAACAGAAGACATCAATAGCTGAATGTGATATCTCCGCGTATTTAGAAAGCAGCAAATTAAAGTCAGTTTTATGATCGAACTTGTATAAGCTGCGGGTAATTGATTTGATCTTATAAAAAAGAAAACACATAGGTAAAAAAAAAAAAAAAAGGGAAGGAAGAAAGGAAATTCCGCTCCGCCATAAAAACTCTGAGAAGAGAGAAAGTGATTTCCGACTGCAAATTGAATCAGCGTATGTATAGGTACAAGAGCATCGACGCGCATGTTTATTTTTGGGAAAGGAAGAGCATAAGTAGGCATTCAAAACGACTTTTTTAATCACCCAAATGGGCGAAATTACAGTAGGTGGTATACACTGGACGCCATATTTGAGGTGACTGTTCACAGCGCATGCTCAGTATGAGTTCTTATTTATGGTCTCCTAGAGAAGGAAATCATGATGGCGTGCAATGTGCGTGTTGGGAGCGTTGTGGAAACTTGCCGTCGGTACAGACCGACACGCGGAGCTGCTCCGTTTACCGACACGGCCGGAAGGCCGCATATGCGCGGTGGCTATGTGGGCAAAAGCGGTCCGGCTCTCCGTGTTTCGCATAGCGTTGTGTGGCGTGCGCTCGTTGGTAAGGTTGTAGGGACGCTTCTGGCTTTATTTGTGAGTCGTATTTCCTGACAACGTATTTCGTATTCTATGTCTGACTATTTGAGCTCGCTACCCGAGCCTGAACGGTAGCGGTATCGAAACAAACTGCGCGTGGATGGCGTTGCCTACGTGGATCCGTACGCCGTAAACAAGGCCTGCTGGACTTCCGCCGTGAAGTTGCGGCCATCGAAGTCGACGGCTCACGTCGTCGTTTATTTAGTTTTTTCGCCAAGCCAGTTCACGGCCGACACGGTGCAGGCGTACAAGTCTCTCGAGGCCTACGATTACTTCGAGCCGGTTTCCGCACTGCCGGCGGAATCGGCAGACTGTGGGTCTGCGGAAGTGTATTTATTAGTTAAATAAATACACACAGCGTCTTGAAGTCAAGGTATGATGTTTTTTCCACCCTCACGACCACAAGGAATGACAGGCAGTAACGCTTTGTCCGCTCTGCAGTCTTGGCGGTGACACGTTACAAGTAACGGCGTTACCAGGAACGTGTTACTTTTTTCAGTAATGTAGTAACCTACTCATTACTTTTTCCACACAAAAACGGGTAACGTGCTTACGTCACTATTTCAAGTAACGTAGTTACGTTACCCATTACTACTTCCCAAGGCTTAAAGAAATTACAGTTCACTTTTTTTACGTGTTTTTAGGCGTCAAGCCATTATTTTCTTTGCGTTTTTTTTTTCGTGAGTATTTAGGTTAAACTGTAAAAAGAGATAAAGTAATTATGTTCAATTTCGGCATGAACGTAATGTTTCTTGATATATGAGCTTACCCATACGTGTATCGCCAAAAACGTAAAACGTGTTAAATCATAATTTAAAAAAGTAACGCAGAAGTAACGTGCGTTACTTTTTATTGGTCGCGGTAACGCGTTCCTTTTATTTTTAAGTAACGTCGCTCTGTAACGCGCACCTTTTATTTGCAAGTAACGAGTAACGTATTTCGTTACTTTTTTTCGGTAACGCCTACAACACTGCCGTTCTTCGCCGATCCCCTTCTGCTGGGTAGCACGGGCGTAGCGAGCTCCCGACGAGCGCTTGGCCGGTACTTTGTGCGCGAACACCGTGGGAACAAAATCCGGGTGGTATAGATGAGACAACGGTTTCCCTGCACATAAGCAAGCCTCGGGACGGAGATTGAAATGGATACCACATTTGCCTCCAAGAAAGTGCTCGCCGCACAAACGCTCGTTCGCGCGAGGCGACCATTCTTTTCGATCCACGGATCATCCACCTTCTATGCCATTCAGAGTCTGCTGGGAACTTGTGGAAACTCACTCCGCTACTTTTCTTGTACATTTTGGTGCAATTAACGGCAACACAGCGTCACGGCAGGCTGAAATGCCACGACGCCCATGCGAAACGTGCGCCTATTTGCCCACACCACCCGGCTCCGGCACGATCGCAGCGCCGCCGCAGCTCCGTGACGTCAAGACCGCGGCGGGATGCCTTGGTGGCGCCCTCCTATGGTTCCCTTTCGTGACGTCGTTACCTTGCAAACAACACTTTCGATGGTGTTTGTAATAAGCATCGTGGAAGATTGCAATCATTGCGCTCTAAAACCAACGCTTCCAACACCGCCAAAAGAGAAGTTCTTCCATTCCTCTTATTTCCGTCGAAGAGAAATCCTTTGCTGACGTCATAGTCAGCATTCGGCCAATAGTGGAAGGCTGACCACAGCGACGCTTTCGATCGCGCACGTCGCCAATTGCAGGATGAATGGACAGCAGGGAGAAGGGAAAAATATACATAATATAAAAAAAGACGAAAGAAAACTTTTTTTTTTTTCTGCCTCTTTCGCATGTTGTTTTATCACCTTAAACTGCGCTCCGAACGTATTTAACCCCTCGCTTAATATGTTTCATCTGGATTACATCATGTTCAGAAGGTCGGCATTCTAATCGTGTAGAACCATTTTCTGTCATTTTTTTTTTTCGCAGATTAGAAGAGTGGAATTGCCATTCCGCGCCAACACCATCGACCGAAGATGACCCGCAGTTTGAGAACGCCGTGGCTAACAGTGTTTAACTTAGAGCCATTTTACTCTACTAATGATAACTGCCCTTTTGTTACTGCATCAATATAACTTGTAACCACTCCCCTCTCTGACCCCATCAGCCGCAGTTACACTGCTCATAACATCATACCGTTCGCTGCAGAAATGATGATCGAATTCTCCGACGCCTCAAGCATGTCCGAATTCCGCGGGTTTGCTTCGCACATGCTTCGAACGTGTTTGCAGACAGGTTTCAGTATGACGAATTGTGACAGGACCGCGACACAAAGAAACATGCCCCATACAGTGTTTGCAGACTGTCGTTTGTATGATGTATTAGCACTGCGCAGTGGGACCGCGGCTTTGGGCCCTAAGAGTATACGAAATAAATAAGTGAATCAATAAACAAGCCGGGCCTAAAAAGCGAAAGAGAGAGAGAGAGGGAGAGAGAGAGAGAGAGAGAGTGAGAGAGAGAGAGAGAGAGAGAGAGAAGAGAGACAGATGGATGTATATGTAATTGAGAGAAGAGAGAAAGATAGAGATCAAGAGAAGTTAGCGGCTGCTTGTTGAAGTCCCATTCTTGAAGGAAACCTTGCAGTAGTAAAGATGTTAAGAGTTGCTATTGTCGTCGTCGTTGACAGTGTCAATATAGCCTACGTTTTGTTACGACATCAGTTTTTCAGGCCTAACCTCTTCAAACCGGATTTAGAGGGTGTTTGACACTATGAGGCGTGCTTCGTGCTTTTCGCGCCGTCTTCCGGATGTATATATTCCGCGCATGCGCTGTGGAGCCGAGCACGTGCCTCTGGGCAATACGGTGACGCTGTGGAAGATGGGACTGAAACTGCTGCAGAAGTAGTCTCCGCTGTGGTTCAGCTGGGCTTCGAGTACGGTCAGCGTGGAACTGGTCCGGTCCGGCTCCCGGGGGCCCCGACTCAACCGGTACCGGTTCCAGGGGTCCGGTACGATGGGCGTCGAGCCCGGTCCCCCTCTGCGCCAGCTGGCGAACCGGTGCAACGGCAGTCGGCAGTGGAGGGTCAGCGGCGAGCCCTCGCGCACGATGCTGGGGCCCTGGTACTGCACGTCTTCCTCCTGGTTTGCTGAAGGCCCACCCGCCAGCGGTGCTTTTCGGTTGTTGCTGAGCATTGCTCGTCCATCATCGATAATCAGGCAGACACGTGCACAGTGTCACTTGCTGACTAGGAACCAAACATCTGGAGACTTTTCAAACTGGTTGACTCCCCTTGAAGCGAGCGGAGGTGATAAGAGATCGAGTTCTGTCTGTATCGAGGGAACGGTAGGGCGGCGCGATGTTATCGTTATTTTAAAATGATTTTATAATCCGTAAAAAATAATACTAAGTTGGATTGCGAAACAGCTCTAGACTCATTAAAACCGTAACGACGAGAAAAACTGCTATGTACTTGTTTTAAGTTTCATTTCTGTGCTGCACAAACAGAACAAACAGAATGTTGGTGACGACCTTCGTGTTTTGTTTTGTGCTTAGGGCGGCAAGCTCACCATCGCAAACTAAATCACTGAATGGGATAAACCACATAGTTTACTCTCTGTCTAACTTATATTGGGACTAAATCATGGGCCGGGAGAGAACTCTGTCCTTGTCAGGGCTGCTATAGAGCCAGCACATAACCTTCTAAGCTTAATCACCGCGGATGACATTAATCTAACTTCTACTGATGAATGCTGTTAGCCTCCAAAGATGTCCAATTGACAGCTGTTTTATAATTATCTTTTCTTCGAATGCAAACGAGAATCACAGCGGGCTTGTATAGATCATTTCAGATCTATGAAACCCCACTACCGGTGACAGTTAAGTCTAAGTTCTAAGTGAAATTAAGTTAATTTAAGCGTGAGTTCTAAGTTAAGTTGAGTTAGGTCTAAATTCTATAGACGCCGACAAGATGAGAACGTGAGAACGTCCTTTCCGATGCTTGGCGTCCAACACACGCCCTTTGCTTACCGTCGCACGACAATGAAACTTGCGCGCTTGAGGCTGGCGAGACGTCGAGGGCTTATCGAAGCTAACAAGCTTTCACTGGAGGCGAACCAACCGAAGGACCCCCCCCTAGTCAATGTTATTATTTTTAAATGATTGCGAATTAAATACATCTGTTTCATGTTAAGCGGTTGCTAGAATGCAAACAAGAACGTCAGCCTTCTCCACCGATCATGAGCTCATGCCTGTTTCGTTCGAAGTCTCGCTATGGCCAGAAGCACGTCTTGAGCTGCCGTTGCTTGACAGTTAATTTCCGAGTGCAGGATATCGGAAACTGAACCAACTGTCATCGCGAAAACACGTACGCTTTCGCCTCTACTAATTCGCTCACACCTTTTCCTCCTTCTTTTACAACGTCCTCGCCCATTCGATCGCGTGTTCCGTTCCATGAAAACTGTACACTCTCAACATCTTCTTAAGAATGGCAGCCCAGAATGAAATATTGTCTTTCTTTTTTTTTTTGTTCGTTCCTGTAAATGTTAGTTTTACCGTCTGCCCCAGTCTTCAACGCTACCTCTCTCAAATTACCACACGTTTCACCTGTTTTTTTCTTACACAACCATCGTTTTATCGGTTTTAAAGCCGTTTGTTGAAATTTTCTTAATTATTGTAGAAACAAACAAAAAGAGGCTACACGGAATATATTTCGCACAATGAAAGTCAAAACAAATCATGAGGACAGCCGAGGATCGAACGAACTCGAAAAGGAATGTTCTGGAAGTCTCAGAGCGGCAGACGACGTTTCAACGAGAAACTCTTAGCTAATAGACTTGTAGCTGGCTCTAGGCTAAGATTCTCTCAGCTTCGATAATCTTAGCTTAGATACTCTTAGCTAAGAGACACTCAGTTAAGAGGCTCTTAGACACCCTTAGCTAGGGAACTTTTGGTTCAAAGACTCTTAATGCTAGTTCACACACTTGCGACTGCCTACGACCGGAGATGCTAAAATCGGCCTTTAGCCTTAAGATAATTTACGCTCCTGGTTAAAAAATTCTTAGCTACTCTTAGATCCTGGCTAAAAAGACTGTTAGCTACTCTTAGCATCTGGTTAATAGTGTCCTAGCTACTCTTAGCTTTTGGATAAAAAATTATCCATTCGCTACTCTTAGCATGGGGTTAAAAGACTCTTAGCCTTCCTTAGCTCCTGGCTAAAAAACAAACAAACAAACAAAAACTCGGCTACTTTGGTACTTGGTTAAAAGACTCTTAGCTCTTTCCCCCTCTCCCATTCCTGCATCCTCATACACTTCCCCTTCACGACAAGGCTTGAAACCGGTCGCGTCGTACCCCTTCTAAATATGAATAAAACGTATCCAACAACAACTTAGCTACTGTTAGCTCATGGTTAAAAACAAAGAACTCTTACCTACTCTCAGCACCTGGTTAAAAGACTCATAGGTAAGGGACTCACGTAGAAAGCTCTCAGCTAAAAGACTTACTTAGGTCACCTAGCCCAGCTAAGTCTCTGGGCGAAGCGTCGTCTGCCATTCCCGAGGCTCTCAGGATACCCCTATTCGAGCCCACACAAGGAGTGGGGCTCACCGGAGCACGTGGCGAGTAGAAGGACGGCGACTAGAAGAGTCCGTAACCGGCATAACAGTCGATGAAGAGGCGGCACCATGGCTGCGACTTGCGGTTCGCGGCCCTGGTTCGCCCGCGATGTCCGCCTAGCTTCCTGGTATATCCTCGCACTCCGCTGCGGCACTGTTGCCGGTGCCCGCTTGCCGAGAGAACGAGCGTGCTCCACGCGCCCGGGTTCGGGGTGTCTATTTTTAGGCTGACCGAAAAATAACGGCCGCCCTCCTCCAGTGATGTGGCCTGATGCAACACCACCTTATAGAAGACAAGTCCAGCGTCTTTCGGCCGCTCAAAACGTCATCACTGCTGGATACACGCAGTGCCACCTAAATCATCGCCGCAAGCGCGTTTTACAGCGTCTCGTGACAAACGCGATGGTAGCAGACGGCGACGCCAAGAGGCACGCGTCTGCTCTCGCCAAGATTCAGTATGTTTGCCGCTTGGGGGCAGGTTGGAGATCCACTATTGACGACGTCATTCACAGGCCTTGTCGTCTGGGTGGCATGGCCTTGTGCCAGTGGCTCGTCTGGAGACCAGGCTTGTCTGCTGCTGTAGTATCGGCCCGGAAACGGGTGACCGTTTGGGGAATCGCGTGAATAGATCGTCCTTGGAACGACAGACACGTGTGCCACCGTTATTCCGCTGGCCGAAATGATGATTGTCGGTCGCACCCAGTCGCCTTCATTTTTAATTTTTAGGGAGGAACAGTTTTGAGATAGATGCTCCTGTCTAGACGTCTAGCCATGTGAAGGACGCTTGTATGCGTTTTTTTGTTCTCGTGTAGACGTGCCTTTTTGTGGCTGGAAATGACGTTTGTCGCTCACATCTGGTCGTTTTTAGTTGTTTTTGAGCGCTAAGCAGTTTTGAACTATCTCCCTGGAAATAGTTTGACAACGAAGGCCACAGGACGTCCATCCGCATGGTGGGCGTTTTGCAAAGCTTTTTTTTAGGTCGCATGTATTTTTTGGCGGACGGAAATGGCGTTTGTCGGCCGCATCCGGCCGCTTCCGAACACTCTCTAGCGTTCAAGAGTTCTGAAAAAAAAAAAAAAAACATATGCGCTTGTTCACTAGGACGTTTGATAACGAAGACCTTTGGACGTCTAGCCGAGTGAAAGGCGTTTATAATCATTTCATTCGGGTGGCAGCAGCTAAACTACGTTATTTCCGTTAAAAAATAAAATGAAATCATGCACGCCAAAAAGCGACGGCGACTGACTATCACAAACACTAGAAGCACCGGTGCAGATATGCGTGCCTGTAAGGACAAAGCTTTAAAGGGATGGTAAACAAAAATCAAAATTAAAAAAAAAAACTAAAAAAAAAAAAAAAAAAACGCAGGAGATGTAGGCGGGACGCTACAATCCCTACAACACTACTCGTAAGGCGATATCTCAAATGGACGGCCGTATTTCTGGAAAAAGAGGTCGAGATTGAACGAGGCCGACGAGGCACGTGACGTCAAGATACCTAGTTTCACAAGATACCAAGCTTTCACTTGATATATTTCTTATGCCTTAAGTATTAAATAATTGTACAACGAAACCTAGCTCGATTCAAATTTGGCTCATCCTTGTCATAGGTGCAAGATAAAACAAAATTTTATTTAATAAACTAAAATAAAACACACTTCTAGAGCAGTAAAAAGTTATTATTGTTGTGAAAAAAATAATCTAAACGTGGCGAGACTACGAAATAAGTCACTCGTGAAAACTGCGAAAATCAAAAACCTACCTTCTGCCCTTTCAAAACCGAAAAGTCAAGAAAAAGAAATCCGTAGTTCTGATTTGCAGTGTTGATCACACATTTTTCTCCAACATATATTTGTTCCAGATGTTTTTGAGGACCAATCATTCTCTAGATGATTAAAAAGGAAAAGGTTTTGTGGAGCCGGTGTCGGCGATCTCCAAACAACAAAGATTTCCAAAATGAATTGAGGCAGTTAACAAATAAAGCAAACGCTGTCATTCGTTCTACAAATCAACTGTTTATCAAGTAAAATTTCGATGAATTCAGGTTTAGTTCAGCTAAAACACGGTCACTGATAAATCATTTCCGAGACACTGGCTCTGAAATTCAATTGACCAAACTCTGGAACAAAAGTTTCGGTCACTTACTTTAACATTAGCAGGCGACTTTAACAACTTATTTGCTAAATATTCTGGAGTGCCAAGAACCACTGTTGTGAGCTCATGAACACTATATCATGCACTGTTGACGTTAGCTTTCCTTCCTTGATTAGACAAGAAGGATCTGCACTTCCTTTTTGTTAGTTTCATACCTATCGAATTTCCCGGTATTGATGGTATTCGGTCGTATGATTTCAAGAGAAATTTCGCTTAAATTAAGCATGTTCTGCTTGCTATGCTGCACGGCTTCATTGCGTCTAGCAGCATACTACATGAGGTCAAGGTAGCTATCGTACTGCCGCGTTTCAATGAAGGAGAGGGGTGCAATGTTGCAAATTAGCGTCCTATGTCGATTCTACTTATTTTAGGAAAAGATATTGAAGAACACCTCTTTCCCATTAGCAGTTTTTTTTTAGATAAGATCTAGTCTAAATCTTTTCATCTAACCAGTACGGATTCATTACTGGGAAAGGCACGCAATCGATCCTTGATTATTTTTTCGATTACATATATTCAGCATATTTGAAAGTAATATGTTTGCACGTGCCTTTTTTTATGTGTCTGAGATTTTAGACACTGTCAGCCATCAGCTGCTCCTAGCAAAATTTTGTCGCCTCAGTTTTCGCGGCCCATTTTATTCTTTACTGAAAAAAAAAATTCTATGTGGAAGGTCCCAGTTTGTTCTAATTGGAAGATTTAAAAGTTCTCGGCTTTCTTAAATGTCGGGAGTGCCTCAGGGTTCTGTTATTTCTCCTCTACCTTTCAATATTTTTGTCAACAACATGGCCCAGGTCATCAACGGGTGTAAAATTTACCTATATGCACTTCATATGAACATGCGCGGCATGAAGGGCAAACAAGATCCACTTGAGCTATTTCTGAACACTATGGGATTTAGTTTCTATGACATCATTTTCACGGAAACCTGGCTGACTCGTAACGACCTAAGCTACCGCCTCTATTGGGCTACAAGGGAACTGGCATGGTTAGAGAAAGTAAATGACGATTTACGTAAAAGAACAAAATTTTATTATTTTTTTCAACGAATTATCAGTGACAGAGACAAACGTTGAATGTATTGCGGTAAACACAGGGAAAGCTATTGTTGTTGTGCACAGACCACCTTCGGGAAAGGTTAAACGTTTTCTTGACTTTTTCGAAAATATTCAAGCTTTTTTTGGGAATTTATCTTTGCCCTTTTTGTTATGGGCGATGTAAACATTAATACCTTATCCGACGAATCCGTGGCGGAAAAGTTCCACAATCCATTACTTTCTTACAATCGTATCAACGCGATAACCGTGCCAACAATAGTGAATCCAACGAGTGCAACATCAATTGACGTATGTGTAAAAAATATAAAAACCACCGATATGATGTCTGGAGTAATGTCACACGATACCAGTGACCACATGCCCATTTTCTGTTTGACGAATATCAAACACGCCCACAACGATAATAAAAAAATCGAAACGTGTTAAAAAATGATGAATCACTTCAAAATTTTCGTGATTTGGTCACCCAAATGAACGGGCAAGGTGTTTTCGAACAGGAAGACTTAAAGGGATCGTCCGGTCAAATTTTGTATTCGAGAAAGCAATTGAATATCACTGTTTTTGCCTCGAGACGCATCGTACGTGCCATATCTGAATTTTATATGCACGTCTGCGTGAGTAATTGAATTTATACTGCTCCAATCGCATTCTAGCGTAAACGCTGCTTCCGTTGGCAACATTGAAGCTCTGACGTCACAAAACACAAAGCGAGCATTTTTGTCTCGTCGTTTGCCTGCGAGTGAACGCCTCAGCGCACGTGCTTCGTTTTTGTTGTTGTGTTCGACTTGTTTCGTGGTTGGGTGAGATTTTTGTTGCGCGGTTGGGTGCAACAACCACCGGGCAGCACATGCGACCCAAGACATGACGTTTCACACTTTTCTGCGAGACGTGCGTAGGGACTGGGTTTCCGTCAAGATCGAGATCCCGCTTATGCAGCAATCATCTCACAGAAGAAAGCGACGAGCTGAGCTCTAAGCGGACAGAAGGCTTGTAAGGTGAGGTGTGATGCTGTGCCAACGATGTTAAACTACGTCCACCCACTCCTCGCCCAAATCGGATCAGTCAATCTAGGTCTGTTCGATTCGCCTGAACTGGCTGAACTAGTTCAGCAGCGCAGGAACTGGTGCATTCGATTCAACCGGAAGTTGCCCGACCGCTGCACTGGCGCGTTCAAGTCATCCCAGTTCTGAACGAGTTCAGACCCAGTTCCTCAAAAATCTTGCACCGGCTCCGGACTCAGTTCAGCGTCCGTGCAGAAGCAGACGACAAGAGCAGACGGCAATAGCAGACGACACTCCTCGTCCGTCTCTGCTCGCGGTGCCATTTTTCGCAGCTTTTGCTCTAATGTCTGCGATGTTTAACAATAACGCCGATACGGAGGTAGAATTTCCTCTCATTTATGATAATAACGTACCCGCGGTGGAAGCGGAATTGAGATCATAACTGAAGGTGGGAATTTGCTTGATTATGATATTCTGAAAGCGTTTGAGGCACCTGCTCGCGTAGGTATGGCTCCCTGTGGTGAGTGTTGAAATATTGGCTCACGTAATTTGTTTCTTTCTGGTGCTATGTGGGGATCCACAGTGTTGATATTTTTACTTACAGACACGGGGAAGGTATTGCTATGTTGATAGTCCCCGCCTTCAGTTGCTCTTGTATGCATATTGACGACTCCGATATATTGCAGAGGTCTGTGATTTAGTGCTTTGGCACTCGCATGTCCCAGTAGCTGAGCACAATACTGCATGCTTCGTCCGCTGGTTTCTGTGGACGACCACTAACGGGGCTGGAAAAAATGCCGAGAAGCGGCATTTTTGCCGATTCTCGCTTCAACTTGACGTCAAAGTTACGGTCGATAACTGTCTTGGCCAAGACGCTATCGTCAGGCCTTCGTTTTCGAGGTGACTGCCGGTAAGGCACCATGACAGAACAGCACACGACAAAACAGCACGCGACAAAACAGCACGGTCAAAACAGCACGCGTCAAAACAGCACAGCGTCAAAACAGCACGACGACAAAACAGCACGCGCCAAAATAGCACGCGACAA